ACTTCCTATAGTACCCATCAAGGCCAAGGAAACCTCTGAGTTACTTCACTATAGTAGGCACAAGCCATTATTGAACAACTAGAGTCATCTTTGGATTAGTGGGAACTACTACAGCTGAGATGAAATGCCCTAAGTACTCCACTTTTGCCACCACAAAAACACATTTAGAGTGTTTGGCCAGTAAGCTGTTGTTCACCATAACTTCAAATACTTGCTGGAGATGTTGTACATCGACCAAAATTTCATCAAAGAAAACCAGTACTAATTTCCTTAAAAACTATTGAAACATATTATTCATAAGACACTGAAATGTAGAAGGAGCATTTGTTAAACCAAAGGGCATGACTAGGGATTCATAGTGGCCCAAGTGAGTTTTGAAAGAAGTTTTTGGGGTATCTTCAGGCACCATTCTAATCTGATGGTAACCTGATCTTAGATCAATCTTAGAAAAGACTGTAGTTTCAATAAGTTCATCCAAAAGATCATCTATAATGGGAATGGGGAACTTGTCCTTAATTGTGCATTGGTTTAACTCCCTATAATCAACACACAACCTCCATAACCCATCCTTTTTCCCTACTAGGACCACTGGTGAAAAGAAGGGACTATTGCTATATTGGATAACACCTTATTGTAACATTTTCAATACCAGCTTCTCTATATCTTTTTTCATAGAGGAGTACCTATAGCCTGATGTTGACTAGTTTAGACCCTTCTTGTATGGGAATTTATATGATGAAAAACACTCATCCGTGGAGGCAAAGCTGTAGGCTCATTAAAGATTTGTTGATATTGGATGATCAGATTCTTAAGTGATCCTAGTATAGGCTCCTCTACAGGCAGATGAAGAGCATTAACGTGGCTGTTATACTCCTTCACAGTTGCAGGTGTAACCACACGTAACAAGAACTGGACCTCTTCATTGTAGCCCTTATTTATAGCTTTAGAGTTTGAGAGCTTGCAGTCTTCAGTGACTCCTTTCAACACATGATGTTTGCCCTGGTAGTTAACGGACATAGTAAGTTCAATGTAATCCATAGTGACATGACCTAATGCTTTCATCCAAAGAGCTCCTAAAACCAAATCATACTTCCCTACAGGAAAGACAATCAAGTTTGAGGTATAGGTAGTTCCTTGTAACATCCATTGGAAGTCTTTCACTACACCAGAGGTAGCCTCCATAGTATTGTTATCCAAACCGACATCTTAGTTGGAGAGATGTGACAGCCCAACCTTTTTGTAGATTCAGCATCAATGATGTTATGAGTACTTCCACCATCAAAAAATATCTGAATGGGTCATTTACTACTATAGCCAATAACATGGATAGTTTGGGCCCCTGAAGTCCACTTAGACCACATAAGGAGATCAAGGGAGGATCTCCATCAGTCACAACCCATTCTTCAGTAGCTAGTGTTCCTTCTGACTTAACTAGCTCTTTATCCATATCACCCTCAGGATATTCTAGGTCCATGATGAACATTTTCTTAGGTAAGGAACACCTACCACCAGGTGTGTACTTATCATTGCAAAAATAGTATAAACCCTGAGCTCTTTTGGCCTGCATCTCAGCTGGTGAAATCATTCTTCTAGTTCTGGGAGTAGTAGTGTTTGAAGTTGTCAAAGTTAGTTTGTTGGTGGGTGATGAGTGCTGGTTAGGAGTTTTGGTAGGGGGAAGTTATAAGGAGGTTTTTTATTGGGAAAGGATTGGGTAGGTATAGGAAAATGTTTCAGTGTTCTAGCATTAGTTGCTAAGGTAGCTTCAGCTAATCTGGCCAGTCGATAGGTTTTGAGAGAGTTTGGGGTTCATGCATTATAATTGGGGTAACCAACTCTTCCTTCAGTCCACCTAGGAAACATGATATAACTTGATCTACTAAAAAATTATGCTGTGAAACTAGCCTGTCAAAAGCAAACTAAAATTCTCTCACATAACCAGTTTGTCTCAACTGTTTTAACTCAAGCATGGGGTCTGCAAACTCATCCCCAAATGTTTCAACCAACACAACCAAGTTTTCCGCCCACTCAGGTAGCCCAGGTACACCTCTGCACTTCAAAAAGGATTGATGCCAATCAAAGCATCATCATCCAAATTCATAGCTACTAGTCTCACTCTCTCATTGAGAGAGTATTATCCATAGCAAAATACAGCTCAATTCGATACAGCCAATTTTTTAGGTTTTCACCAATAAAGCGTGGAAATAAAAAGTGATGATTTCGAGTATTAGCAACATAGTAAGGATTTGGGCCTAAAATTCCCTGACCTGTTGTAGCAGCCTGAGCTTGATCAGTTGAAGTAGAACCGCCGTCCTTCGACTGCTGATGCAATTGCATTCCATCAAGGGAGTTTTGAGACCGCTAACTAATTGAAATAGCTTAGTTTTCCTGCGATCCATGTCGTCCCTAAGCTCCTGATGCTTCTGATCCATGATAGCTCGCAGATCCAATTGTTGAGCTGTTAAATCCTCAAACTGTTCCTGTAGATTAATGGCTGGAATTCCTTGAGCATCTTCCACAGCCTTTCGCGGTCCCATCGTGGTCACCTAGCTCTAATACCAATACCAATAAGGTATCGAACACAGCAATGAAACAATGATACGAGGGCAGAGGAGAGAAATGGAGGTAAGCGAGAAGAGAGAATTCAGAAGAAGCGAGAAATGATTTGTATTAGCTTCAAAGTGACTTCCCACTATTGCATACTATTACTTATACAATTAGAGTTTGAAATTGAAATGCAAAACATGCTGAAAATAGAGAAAACGGAATAACTACTTCTCCCGCCGAAACTAAATGTTCAAATAATCCTACTCAGCTTCCATGTTAGCTGTTGCTGTAATATGTGTATCATTCTCGCAACACGTATAGTAATATCTTAAACATCCACACATTTTTAATTATTGTTCGTCTATTCTCTGAGGCTTTAGATTAAATATATCATATGCCATTTCTTGTAATAGATCTTTCTATCTAGTGGCCAAAAGTAAGATACATAAAACAGGGATAGGAAGAGCCTACAAATCCTTAACCAACTTATTCTTTCCGAGTGAATATGCTTTTAATCTTAATATTTGTACAGCCTTTGGATATAAACTCATTCTGTAATATGAAAAGCTTATTGGTAAAGGCTAAATGTGGAAGTTCCTTTTGGAGAATGGAACTTTATGTTGGGTGTTGGATTATGTGCTTAGCAACAAGCTAAGTTCAGATATTCAAGATCAAACACCCCTTTGCATGCAGATGCTTGTGCATGAAACTTTTTGAAACTTCATATATTTTATTGCTCTCAGTTAAGCTACACTTGAACGGACAAGCACCAACGGATGTTTGTCCTATAATAGGCAGAAAGTACAAATATTCCATTCAATTAACATACAGAATCAACTAGATAAGAATCTGAAAACAAACAGGACTAAAACTGGAAGGAAAAGCCTAGTAATCACCAGCATAGGTTGACTAAGCTAGCAAGTGTATTGGACTTGCAAGTAATGCATAAAGAATGTAGAAAGACATGATAAACCAAATAGTCATTACTAAGCTAGCTGAAAAGAGTTGTTTACTTAGGAAAGCATTGAGCTCATTGGATGTCTGATCGTCTTTATAGCATATGCATATCTTGTTGCATCAACAAGTAACATAATGGAATCTTGATCCGCATGGTTCAGCCACCTGCATAATGAAGTAATCCTAATCCTACATGATTCATGGACATCGTGTCGAAAGGTATTAACTACTAGCTAGAGATCATAAGAATGTATATCCAAGGAGGGATATAATGTGTATCATTGGAAAGATGGCTAGGAATGTTGCTAATTGAAGTCCTGACGCAATTCGTTTTTTAAAAAGCATGTGTAGCACCTAGCACTCTCATAGCGGCCAGCAAAATATAAAAATCACCTAATCATTCAGAGAAGTATAGGAGGAAAAGAATCAAAAGAAAACCAATTAGCAGCCACCAAGGTAAGAATATGCATCAGTTTAAATGAGCTTAAGGCCTCAATCTAGTCAAGGTGATATACCTTTTTAAAGGAAACCTATGCCATTGCTGTGGAAGTTTAAATCGCCAACCATTCATCAATCCGTGAACCAAGGATGATAACTAAGATTTACCGGGCAGAAATTAGTAGAAGCTTTAATTTGCTTGGCTTTTCTGGTGGAGCATATGATATATCTCTAACTTAAGAATATCTTTCTAACTACTAAAGATGGGCATGCCAACGTAACAGCAAATAAATTGCATGCAGAAGGGGATGCTAATTAGTTTTCTACTAGAAAATTCACACACTCAGGATACTGAGCCCCAGCTGCCCTTCTATCACCCTAGTACTCCCAATGGTGCTGGAAGGAGTACCAGACATCGCAGTTACCTTGATCATTTCGCTTGTACACTTATGAGCTGAGGCAAATTAAAATTCAGGCCATCATCTTAAGGGCTTCTTAAATAAGAATTTGCTTCTATCCTGACAAACAGAGGATGTTCTCACTCCATAAAGAAAATGTGATGGAGTAGTCATTTCCCTGTTTGACGACACTATGCCTTATAGTTACCTTTCGAACTATTTGCAACACCAACATGCAAATAAACTAATATACACTTCACTAAAGCGCATCATATTACACTCAAAACTCCTACAATGAAAACCAAGGAAGGACTAGTTTCACTAGCATGGGACAGAAATAACTACTTGTGGCCTCATGAGTTTGAACACTTCATAGAGATATTGGATGTCGTGAACTAAATCAATCTTGTAGCACTATCTTGAAAGGATTAATGATTCGCAATGCAACAAACATTGCATGAAGTCGATATTAATTTTACTTTACTCCATGAATCATAAATCATAAAACACTTCAGATATACATCTCATATCAAATCCTAGGAATCTTAGTTTGATGTAAGAAACTGATACTTGCACAATGAATCAGACAGACTGTATATTGGAGAAAAACAAAATGTAGAAAGGGTAATCACCAGCTCAAATAAAATATTTTAATTAAGTAAATTATGAGTTTATAACATCCCCGGCAATCTCACGAGGAGATATAAAAGGTCTAGGGGGCATCAGTAGGAGTTGAACATCTCCTTCAAGCATTTCAACAACTTTTTTCATTGCAGGACGATCAACAGGCTTCATCTGTATGCACCACAATGCCACAAATATCATCTTCTTTACCATCCTCCTATCTTCCTCGCTGGCGTCCTGCATCTCTATATCATTTCCTTCATTAAATTGGTCGTAAACCCATGTAGGAAAGTATATTTGGCTTAAATGATCCGCAAATGGGTTCATGTTTTTCCTTCTGCCTGCCATTTCCATCAACAACATCCCATAACTATATACATCGGCTTTGTATGACACTCCTCCAATATTTTTATAGAACAACTCTGGAGCCATGTAACCCATTGTCCCTCTTGCTGCAGTTAGACTCACTATACTATCATCTGTTGGGTACAGTTTTGCAAGCCCAAAGTCGGATGTTTTTGGATTAAAATCTTCGTCCAGAAGAATGTTGTGAGGCTTAATGTCAAAATGTAAGATCTGCATGTCACAGCCCCGATGTAGGTAGTCTATCCCACGGGCAACTCCTAGAGATATATCAAACATTTGTTTGTAACTCAAGGAAACAATTCTTTCTTGTGGAAATATATACTTGTCTAAGGAACCATTAGGCGTGAACTCGTATACCAAAGCACGTTTTGAGCCCTCAACGCAGAACCCGATGAGCTGCACAACATTAACATGGTGAATCCTTCCAATTGTGGAAACTTCACTGATAAATTCTTGCCCGCTGGTCATAGATTTGTGCATCAACTTCACTGCAACAAAAGGACCACTACGGAGCTTTCCTTTGAAGACAGTTCCATATGCTCCTTCGCCTAGTTTTTCCTTGAATTTATTAGTCATCTTCTTAATCTCAGAATACGAGTACTTAATTGGCACGAGGGTACCCTGGATTTGCAGGAAATCTTCAATTGCTTGATACTCAGATAAGTGCCGTCTTCTCAATTTATACACTACTAATGCAATCAGGAAAAAAAATCCACAGAGAAATCGAAATGATAGAATTGCAGCTGCATAATTTTCAAAAAGAAAAATGGAAGTCATTTATTAGAAAACCACATCCTTTTTCATAGGGTGAAGGGGTTTGACTAAAAGCTTCAAAGCTATTTCATTATTCAGAATTCAGAGTGTACCAAGAATGCTTATGGTCGTCGTTGAGTAAGATAAGAAGACTCACCTATACCAAATCCGCCGTAAAATATCGTAAGAACTGTGAGAATAGGCAAATCACAAAGGAAAATTTACGTTAGAAGAAGCAAATTTGGTACAGACTTGAAGAAAGAGCTTACAGCTATATGGAAAACGTATTGCTTTAACGCTGTAATGATACTAGTGTCTATGAGCCGAGGGTCTCCCGGAATCAGCCTCTCTACCCCCTTCGGGGTAGGGGTAAGGTCTGCGTACACTCTACCTCCCCAGACCCTACTGGTGGGATTTTACTGGGTCGTTGTTGTTGTTGTTTGTTGCAGTCCACTATCTCAAATACATACCTACATGCAAGTGGATGCTACCTGCATTGTCCAAATATAGGAACTTGAGTAAAATAGTGGTTGCTATATCTTGAAATAATTAAGTTGCTGAGAATTGAAACTTAGTATATATAGTTAATAGGGTAACTAACTGATAAGCATAAAAAAGAGTGGAGAATTGAACACCAAAAGAGATCCAAATTTTCTTGTAACTTCATACAATAGACCCCCTTAACTATACAAAAGAGAGTGGATATAATAGATGAATGAAAGTTGGCTGCTTTAATTGAAGACTTAATCTGTGGTAAAGAATGACACCTTAAAATTGCTAGCGTTGCAGCACTTAGGGAGATACTTGTATCTTCAAAATACTAGTTAGGACTACGGGTGGCAAAATGGTTAAAAGAAAACAGTTAACCACCCATATTATTCACTAAAAATAGTGCCGGCTAGAGGGTAAAGCCAATGAAGCAATGGCTTTAGGCCCCAAAATTTCTAGGGCCCCATTTTTTAGATTAATAATAGGTTAATACTAAGGTAATTTTTCCAAGATATATTTGAAATTTTATGGTAAAAAAGTATAAGATTTTTCTAAAAAAGAATAGAGATTATTATTTAGCCAATGTGACTTATGATGACTAATACTTAATTTGCACTCTCATACTAATATTCTTCTTCTTTTTCTTTCTCAAAATAAAACTTGTGTTTTATATTCTCTTTTTCCCAGTTACTAAGGTGTCTATTCTCTAAAAAGATAAGGGGTGAAAGTCGGTAAAAGTTTACCTACACCGGATGTTTATCGATAGAAGACATGTATAAATTAAAACTGCTTCAATTTCATTTTTTAAAGCATTATTGCAGCAACAATGAAATTTATCCTATATCAAGATATTGACTTCTAGAATCAAGTTCTAGTGTTCTAACATATTATTAATTTTTCATTTAAATTTGAAGTTTATTGTTTTTAAGTTTAAGGCCTCTCAAAAGAGTTTGGCTTTGGGCATCTAATGTTCTTGAGCCGCCTCTGACTAAAAATGGGTTGGATAATGAACTATATGGATAAAGAACCATATTATCCATTTAGAAAATGGATAACTAATGGGTTTAACTTTTACATTTGTAAAAGTTCAAATTGATGGTTCCTCATGTTTGAGAGACTAGGAATTCTCCCAAAGTGATCATATTCAAGAAACTATGGATAATATGGGTATCATATTATCCGCCGGTTAACCCATTTTTTTATCCATATTAAAAATGGGTCAGGACGGATAATTTATCCGTTTTTTCATTGCCCTTTTTGACCCGTCCCATATCCGATCCGATCCGCCCGTTTGCCACCCATAATCAATACCACCAATCAGGACTCACAAAAACCCACAGATATGGGATTTTGTAAAACAGATAATTCTCGAAAAGGGATTCCAAATTGAAAATTGACTTACAAGGGAGGTGAAGATCTGTTGGAAATCAATTGTTTTCACCATTATTAGAAGAAGAAAGAAGAACAGAGCTCAAGCAGAAGAAGAAGATAGGCAAATGTTCGGACATAACAAGGTCTTTTGATTTTTGATCTCAGATAAGACGGGACAGGTGTCATCATCTCAGCAACCAAAGGAAATTTGATTGATTCAATCTGGAACGTCCATTGTGCTGATCAACTTACTAGAAGCTTCTCACATGTATGAGAAATTCACACGTACTGAAGATAGCAGGGAATATTATTTGGTTAGTTTGTTATATTAGTCTAATGTAAATATGACAAGTGTACAAATCTTATAGGATTCTTTTATTTGTATTTTTCTTTTCCATTTTTCTTTTTCAGAGAAATACTTGTATAAAGCTAGATGGTCCTGTACAGTGAACGAATCAATCAAAAAATACAGAAAATTCTTTACATCTGTTCTTCATTTTTCCTTTCATGGTATCAGAGCAGTAGCTCGATCCCAAGAAGATCTAATCTATTCTCTTCTAATTCTTCTTTCACTCTATCTCTTGTTTGCCCTTCATCATGCCTGACACGAGTGCAGAGCAAATCACTGTTACATCAACTGGAAATGGACCAAATTCTGATCCCAATCACCCATACTTCCTCCATTCCTCAGATGCTCCAGGAATGAGCTTAGTAAATGCTGTGTTTGATAGGAAAGGATATCAAGGTTGGAAGAGATCTGTGCTCATAGCTCTTTCAGCGAAGAACAAGTTGGGGTTCATCAATGGAGACTGCCCAGCCCCTGCTGCTACCTCCAAAGACTTTCAACCTTGGAGTAGATGCAATGACATGGTCACCTCTTGGCTTCTCAATTCCCTGACTAAAGACATAGGAGAGAGTGTGATTTACTCTAAATCAGCAAGGAACCTATGGACCAGCTTGGAGCACAGATTTGGACAATCCAATGGTGCAAAATTATATCACCTGCAGAAGGAACTATCAGGTTTAACTCAAGGAACAAATGACATTGCAACTTATTTCACAAAAATCAAACGAATCTGGGATGAACTAGATTCACTCAACTCCAACATCAAGTGCACTTGCACTTGTGTCTGTGAAGGAAAGAAGATGCAGGAGAAATCACAAGAAGATGAGAGACTTATTCAATTCCTTATGGGATTAAATGAGGCATATGGTCAAGCTAGAGGAAACATAATCATGATGAATCCTTTGCCTAGCATAGATCAAGCCTATTCATTGATTCTGCAAGAGGAAAACCAAAGAGAGGTTTATGCTAACCCTCTCATTTCTGCTGAAGTCTCATCCTTCATGGCAGGAAATCAACCCAACATACAGGGAGGTTTTGCCAATCAAGCAAGTTTTTCACAAAGAAATGTAAAGCAGAAATTCACAGGTCAAGGACAGAAAATATGAAATGGATTTCAAAGGTCTGCAAATCCATCCCAAAAACCACCATTTGTCAAAGGAAGAAAAACCAAGTTCAACCCTAATGTAGCATGTTCCTATTGCAAAAAGATAGGTCACACAGTGGCAGATTGCTACAGAATCATAGGGTTCCCAGAAGATTTTGAATTCACCAATGGAAAAACAGGGCAGGCTACAGTAAGAAGTAATGCAGCATTTTCAGAAGAACAGGGAGATAATAGCTCAAACAATTGTACTAAGGCACTCAACCATCATCTTTCCAAAGATCAGTTTTCACAACTAGTCCAACTGATTAAACAGGTCAAAATTGGGGATACAGGAAGTCAGAATTCAGAGATTAATGCCAATGTAGTTGCTGGTACTATTATCAAATATATTGGCACATGTTTTTCAGTTTTTAATTCAAATACATGGATTATAGACTCAGGTGCTTCAGAACATATGTGTTTTGACTCAAATGCGTTTATCTCTCTAACTCCTCTTCCTGTTCCTTTACATATAAATATCCCTAATTCTTTCAAGGTAACAGTCACTCACATAGGTAGAGTCTCTATTCTCCCTGATTATGTCCTAGAGAATGTACTTCATGTCCCTACTTGCAGATATAATTTGTTGTCTGTTAACAGGTTTTCTTCACAATTTCAGTGCATTCTCTCATTCTCTTCTGGTAAATGTGTCTTGCAGGCCTCTTTAATGAAGAGGGGTCAAGTTTTTGGTGAAGCAAAAGAAGGATTATATTTGTTGGAGCCTAATGCAGTCAAAATTAGGGATAAACATGAAAGACATGTAGTTGCAAGTTCAAATCAGAATGTTTCTAGTCAAGTTTCAAATTCTTTTCCTTTTTCTGCAAATGCCATTTCTAATGTAAATCTATGGCACTCCAGATTAGGCCATTTGCCTTTTTCATCAATGAAGCATTTCAGTTTTATCTCTTTCCCTCCTGATTATGAACATTTCTGTGATATTTGTCCTAAGGCTAGACAAACTAGAAATCCTTTTCCATTAAGTCAAATCAAGTCAAAGAAAGCATTTGAATTAATTCATGTGGATACATGGGGACCTTACAAAGTTCCCACATATAATGCTTACAAATATTTCTTGACAATAGTGGATGATTGCAGCAGGGGTACATGGACTTTCTTAATGAGTACTAAGAGTAATGCCTTTGATACATTAAAGAACTTTCTCACAATGGTTGAGAGACAGTTTGGTCTTAAAGTGCAAAAACTAAGAACTGACAATGCTTTTGAAATTGGTAAAGGTACACAGGAATCTGCATTTCTGACTTCTCAAGGGATACTTCATCACACATCTTGTGTTGCTACCCCTCAACAGAATGGGGTAGTGGAGAGGAAACATAGGCACCTTCTAGAGATTGCAAGAGCCGTTCTTTTTCAATCAAAGGTTCCTATTGCTTATTGGGGTGAATGTTTACTAACTGCTACTTACTTGATTAACAGGTTACCCTCTAAAGTCCTTAAAGGGAAGACACCCTATTCTATACTGTTTCAGCAGGATCCTTCCTATGATACTCTTAGAGCTTTTGGGTGTCTTTGCTATGTTTCTACCCTATCTAGTGGAAGAAGCAAGTTTGATCCAAGATCAAAAGCCTGTGTGTTTCTGGGATATCCAGTAGGCCAAAAGGGTTATAAAGTTTTGGAATTAGATAATAGAAAGGTGATAGTCTCCAGGGATGTGCATTTTTATGAAAATAAGTATCCTTTTGCCTCAAATCCTACATTTCCACATTCAAATCCCACCTTTTCAAATGATTCATCAGAAGGACTCATTTTTCCTACATCTACCTCATCTCCTTCAGAAGCCTATTCCCCTACACTTTCATCACCCACTCCAAGCACTGAACATTTACCTTACCACCACAGCCCTCCTATATCCACTATATCCTCTCCAAACACATCTCTTTCATCCACACTTATTCAACCCCAGTCACCTCTCTAGCCCTCTCCATCTAGAAACAGTGTTCCCAGAGACAATACTCCTGTTGCACCTAGAAGATCTTCCAGAGAATCCAAGTTGCCTAGCTATCTAAATGACTACATTTGTAATGCTATTTTTACTATTGATCTCACTACCTCTTGTTTTGCACAGCCTACTTCTCCTACTTCCTATTCTTTTGGAGATTTATCTCCTCACAATCAACATATCTTGCAATCCATTTCAGAAGTTTCAGAACCTACCAGCTTCTCCCAGGCTTCTTTGCACCCAGGATGGCAAAAGGCCATGGTCTCAGAACTTGAAGCTTTACAGAATAACCAGACTTGGGAAGTGATTTTACTTCCACCAGGAAAAAAGGCACTACCTTGTAAGTGGGTCTACAAGGTCAAGCACAATTCAGATGGTACCATAGAAAGACTGAAAGCACGTTTAGTAGTGAGGGGGGACATACAAAAAGAAGGAATCGACTACAATGAGACATTTTCACCTGTGGTAAAAATGACTACCATCAGATGTCTCTTAGCAGTTGCAGCCAAAAAGGAATGGCCAATTTATCAATTAGATGTAAGTAATGCTTTCCTACATGGCGGTCTACAAGAAGAAGTTTTTATGAAATTCCCTGCTGGTTTATCATCTCCCTCTCCTAATCATGTTTGTCTGCTCAAAAAGTCTCTCTATGGGTTAAAGCAAGCTTCCCGACAATGGTATGCTCGGCTTGCTGGTGCTCTCAATTTTAAAGGGTATTCTTCCTCTCTCAATGACTACTCTTTATTCTTCAAAAAACAAGGACATTTGACTACAATTGTGGCAGTCTATGTGGATGACATACTAATTAGTGGGAATAATGCCTCAGAAATCAGTCTTTTAAAGACATTCCTTCATCATGAATTCAAGGTCAAAGATCTGGGCAACTTACATTATTTTCTAGGCATGGAGATTCTTCGAGAAACATAGGGTATTATTGTTTGCCAAAGGAAATTTACCTTAGACTTGCTGAAGGAGTTTGATGTCCTCAGTTCTTCTGCTGTTTCTTCTCCCCTGGAACCATCCTCTAAGCTCCACGCAGATTCAGGAACTCTTCTTCCAAATCCCACTGTTTATAGACAACTTGTGGGGAAGTTGAACTATTTAACCCACACTCGCCCAGATCTATCTTTTGCTATCTTGAAATTGAGCCAATACATGCAAAGTCCCCGTCTTCCTCATTTCAAAGCAGCTCTGAGGGTCCTTAGGTATCTCAAATTAGATCCAGGTCAGGGTATTTTTCTGAATTCAGCTTCGTCTCTAAAGCTTATTGCTTTTTGCGATGCTGATTGGGCATCTTGCCCAGAGACCAGACGTTCTGTAAGTGGTTTCTACATTGCCCTTGGAGCCTCACCAATTTCCTGGAAATCTAAAAAGCAAGCATCTTTATCTCTCTCATCTGTTGAGGCAGAATATCGCTCCATGCGAAAGGTTGTAGCTGAGTTAACATGGCTAACCCGTCTTCTTCAAGATCTCTCCATCCAACCTTCCTTACCAGTCCCCATTCTCTCCGACAGTAAATCAGCAATTCATATCGCCCGCAATCCCGTCTTCCACGAACGAACCAAACATGTCGAACTTGATTGCAATTTTGTGCGGCAACAATTTCTCTCTGGCCTTATTTCTCTCTCTTTTGTGCCTTCTAAATCTCAACTTGCAGATCTTTTCACAAAACCTCTTTCTGGTCCCTCTCATCGCTCTATTCTTAGCAAGTTAGGAGTGTCATCTTTCTCCTCCAACTTGAGGGGGATGTTGGAAATCAATTGTTTTCACCATTATTAGAAGAAGAAAGAAGAACAGAGCTCAAGCAGAAGAAGAAGATAGGCAAATGTTCGGACATAACAAGGTCTTTTGATTTTTTGATCTCAGATAAGACGGGACAGGTGTCATCATCTCAGCAACCAAAGGAAATTTGATTGATTCAATCTGGAACGTCCATTGTGCTGATCAACTTACTAGAAGCTTCTCACATGTATGAGAAATTCACACGTACTGAAGATAGTAGGGAATATTATTTGGTTAGTTTGTTATATTAGTCTAATGTAAATATGACAAGTGTACAAATCTTATAGGATTCTTTTATTTGTATTTTTCTTTTTCAGAGAAATACTTGTATAAAGCTAGATGGTCCTGTACAGTGAACGAATCAATCAAAAAATACAGAAAATTCTTTACATCTGTTCTTCATTTTTCCTTTCAAGATCAAAGGGGGCGGCATCGCCGCAGCGCCAGTTTTTTTCGACGTGGCTGCAATGATAGCCGTCGCCTCCAGCATCACAGTAAATCGCTTCACATTCTCTACACAAGAAGGTACGCTTCCAAGAAAGCTGAAACCCGTAACTCGAGGCATCCTGAATGCTCGATAGAGTAGTATTATCACCCAAAGCCCACGAGCTGAGGCCCAGGCCACTATTTCCATGCTGCAATTCTCAGCCAAATCCGTAATCGACATGTCCTCTCCTATGGCCACATAACTATGACTTTGTGAAGAATTAAAGAAAGAAGTCTTGTTCTGTGAACCACAGAAAGTAGTCTTCACGTAGCGCGAAGAATCTAAGGTGGCTAAACAATTGACATAGATAATGGGAATGGTGGGAGCAAAATAATCAAAAGGTGAGGTGCTAGGCACCTCTTTGGTGAAGTAATTGGGAAAAGAAGTACAGTTAGTGGTCTGATTCACCAAACCAAGGTCAATTGCTCTGATCAAGAATTTATCATAGTTGATTTCCAACACGTTATATTTCCTTGACTCCAAACTTATGACAGTACGATTATTCTGGCAATCAAGCTGGAACCTAGAATCTCCACAATTCTTGGGATCAGCTTTCAACCGAAATGGAAAGGTGATGTTATGAATATCACCGCAAGAAGAAATGCAGTTAGTAATATTTTGGGCTTTGGATATGGTTGTGCAGATTACAACTAGCACAAGAGCAGCTAATTGGAGCCGTCTGACTGCCATCATCGATCTTATGTGCAAATCGACTACGGTGAGTTTGTTCTGTCGTTTCTTTTTTATCATTTCCTCAGAGAAGATTCATCAATAGTTGAACGAGCTAATTGATGTTTGATTTGGTCAGGAATTGAAATCAAGTATAAAAGTCAAAATTTTGTCTATGATTAGTCGTAAGCTGTGTTTTTTTCTCTCCTTTTCTCTTAATTTGTTGTTCTCAAATCTCTGCGCGTTATTATGGAAGTTGAGTACTTTGACTGGGAGGGAGTGAGGATGTAGTTGGTGAGAGGAAATGTCTCCTGACTAGATATCGCATTTCTTGAACTATATTTAAGCTTAAATTAATTAAATTTCACGTTTTAAATAAGCATATATATACCCTCAAACCGATTTGGACTACCGTACAAACTACTCAAACAACCTCTTAATAGAGTAAGATCTGTTATACATCTTTATATAACGGCTATTCACTAATAAAAATCAAGTTTTTTTCGGAACCGATTTTTTATGTTATATTTTACCTCTCTATAAGCAATATACATCTTTATAACAATATGCTCTTTGTAAAATTACCCCTCTATAATATCCGTGTAAAATCTCTAATAAGATCACCAATAAAAAGTTTAAAGATTTTGATCTCACCCTACTGCTATTTGGACTAAGATAAAAGATTCAACTGTGAACTTCTTAATTACCTTCAAGGGAAAGCTACTAGATATCCTTTTGCTGAAAGTTTAAACATTTTTACAAATTCAAGTGTTATATAGAGACTGGAATCTACATAACAAGCTACCGTTACAGAATTTTTTCACTAATCTTGAAATAATTTAATTTTCTAGCAGCTTTAAAATCTATATTTTAGATTTTAAAGCTTTCTTCTTACCCTTTGCTTTGCAGCTTTGCGTATTATTTTCTGGCTTCCTTTTTTTCCACAATCAATCAATTTTACTTGCATCTGGCCATGACAATTTTGCAACCAGATTGCTTTTTTAAAGTTTAGGTCTATGTGTTTACATATTTTCCACACTCATATGATCATATCCACTCATATTCAGTGAATTCCAATTTCTCAATACATGACATAATCGAACGTTTGTGATTCGTTTAGTTAGAATATAATGATCACAAAATTTTAATTTCACTGGCGTTTGAAGTGGAAGTCGCTTAAGATGGGGAAAAAGAGATAATTTCTGCACTTTTATGTTCTAATGTTGCTTGCTTAATCATAATGCAAAATGATTGTGCTTTATATTTTATTTATGTTGTATAGATTATCTTCTTTAGGAATAAATTAAATATTAAGATTACAAAATGTAGACTCTATTTTTTAAGGAATTTTATAAAATGCCTAAAAAATAGATGTCCAACAATAAAAGAAAGATAGACGAAAGCCCGATAGTCTATTAGTCCCTTACTCTTATCTGTTTTTACCAGTTTCTAAGTTGTCAATATTATGATATGCTAAAACTAATTTTCAGGTATTAACTTCACTCAAAAGAGTGACATTTCCACTCATATGAAGTTTGAAACATTGATAATTTTTTGGCAGTCACATATTTGCTATCAGCTGTAATTTTTCACTTTGTAATGGTTACATATTTTATGGTGAGGTTAAATAGTCTTTCATCATTTTTGTTATTATTTCTCGTAATGCATTTTTTATTGATGAGAAGATTCTCTTTATAATACTTCTTGGCTTTTGCAGCTTGAAGATGTGAGATTATTTTTATCCAGAAATTTTATTGACATGATAGAGGTGAAGTGTATCCCTTTACTGAGGTTCCTTCATTATGGAATTTGTACAACTTCATGCTTCACATTATTAGTATGATAAATTTTTAAAATGTATATCTTTATCATAGTAAAGAGTGTTCTATTTGAAGGTTTTTTGACATTGGCTTCTACTTATTGGAGAAATTTACCGAAGGTGAGTCTATTCCCGAGTTATATGCATTTACTTTGTAGTACATTGTATCTGACTTTGGGAATAATTAAAGAAAGAGGTATTGTTCTGTGATCCACTGAAAGTAGTCTCCACATAGCGCGAAGAATCTACGGTGGCTAAACTATTGACATAGATAATGGGAATGTTGGGAGCAAAATAATCAAAAGTAGTTGAGGTGCCAGGAACAGCTGTGGTGAAGTAATTCGGAGAAAAAGTGCAGTTCGTGGTCTGATTCAGCAAACCAGGGTCAATTGCTCTGATTAAGAATTTATCATAGTTGATTTCCAGCACGCTATATTTCCTTGACTCCAAACTTATGACAGTACGATTGTTCTGGCAATCAAGCTGGAACCTTGAATCTCTGCAATTCTGGGGATCAGCTTGTAATCTAAAAGGAAAGGTGATGTTATGAAAATCACCACAAGAAGAAGTGCACTGAGTAATATTTTGGGCTTTGGATATTGTTGTGAAGATCACAAGTAGGACAAGAAGTAGCTAATTGGAGCCGTCTGACTGCCAACATCTTATGTGCAAATCGACTATGGTGAGTTTGTTCTGCCGTTTCTATTTTAATTCATCAATTGTTTAACAAGGAACAGGGCCAAGATATTGATGTTTGATTTGGTCAGGAACTGAAATCAAGGATAAAAGTCAATAGTGTTGTCTAAGATTAGTCGTGACTCGTGCAGTGGTTTTTTCTGTTCTTTTGCTTTATTTGTGGTTCTCTGTGCGTTATCATGAAAATTAAGAGCTTTGACTGGGAGGGAGTGAGGAAATGTATCCTGAATAGATATCTCATTTCTTTAACAAGATTTAAGCTTAAATTAATTAAAATTCAAGTTTTAAATAAGCATATATATCCCCTCAAAATTGTCTTCTGTCAACCAATTTGGACTACTCGTCATTCAGTACAATCTACTCAAACAATTTCTCAATACAAGTTACTGGGAGTGTAACCTGGAGAATATAATTGTTACGCGGCACATTCCTGAGATTCCTTGGAAGGGCGACGTAAGGCTAAGAAACCGATGTTCGTGTAATTACTATCCACCAACTGGGGTCCCCTCCGTACATTAGACGAGATTGTTAGTGTTGTACAGAAAAACCAATGTCAAGAGCAGTTGAGAGAACAGAAAAGAGAATTGAGAATGAAAGAAAGTTTGCTTTTATTAATGAAAGCTATTACAGAAAAGCAACACTGTGTCAAGGGGGAGATACACCAGTATAGAGAATTGTTTGCTTGCTAGAAAGTTTGGTTGCTTGATCCCCCTTAATAGTGCATATAAAAATAAACCAAAGTTACAAGACTTGACCTAACTAAGCTAGAGAGACATAACGGAAATACATGAAATAAAACTACTCTATATTTACAATGAAAGGACTTAGATTCCTATAAAGTAAAAGCAGGTCTGTTGGCAGCAACCTTGTCTTTAGCATCAGAATATGTGCGCGCGACACTGTCTGCACGTGGCGCTGTTGGCATCTGCCTGCGGCTGGGCGCTAGCGAGGGCTATCGGTGGGGCGACATAGGCACAGACGCGCTTGTAACTTGGTGCGCCAAAACCACGGGGCCAACCATAGCGCTAGGCGTTGGGAGGCTTGCTAGGACGCCATGGGGCGCATCCAAGGGGTCATGGAGCATGGCTAGAAAGCCGCCCATGACATTCTCTCCCACCTGAGTTGGCGACATCCTCGTCGCCTTACTTGCAAGATAATCATTTATCAGGCTCTTGTAGGCTTTGAGGTTTGTTCTCCTCTCCAAAGTATTCTCCTTTGCATCACATCTAGGGGTGGCAAAATGGTTAAAAGAAAACAGTTAACCACCCATATTATCCGCTAAAAATGGGTTGGATAATAAACTTTTTAAAAACGGGTCAAATATGGATAAGAACCATGTTATCCATTTAGAAAATGGATAACCAATGGGTAACCAATGGATAACCAATGGGTCTAACTTTTACATTTGTAAAGCCTCAAATTGGGGGTTCCTCAAGTTAGGGAGACTAAGAATTCTCCCAAAAGTGATCATATGCAAGAAGTCATGGATAATATGGGTTACCCATATTATCTGCCGGTTAACCTATTTTTATCCGTATTAAATATGTGTCGGGTCGGATAATTTATCCGTTTTTTCATTATCCGTTTTCGACCCGAACCATATCTGACCCGACCCGACCCGCCCATTTGCCACTCCTAATCACAGCCCTACCATTTCACCAAGAACTCTTGGAGATTGTTCCTTGAAACATGAACCACTTGATCATCGAGACTAGCATCTACCCGCCTTTTTCCTGTTGAATTAGGGACTCGACTATTGGGTATTGTGAGTTGACTCCGTGAAGGATCCTTCATGTCTTCCCGAAAAGGTTTAAGAAGGCTGACATGGAAGACTGGATGTAACTTCCACCAGGCTAGGTATCCACCTGGTATGCAACTTTCCTAATGCGCTTCTTAATGGATAAGGGTCCAATGTATTTTTGCAATAGATGAGGGTCATGGACCCCTGCAAACAAGTATCGCTTTAGGATTTTCTCCATCACTATGCCTCCTACTTGGTACTCAACAGAGCGACGATTTTAATCTGCATGCTTCTTCATCCGCTTTTGGGCTTTGACAAGATAGCCCTGCACTATTTCCAAATTCCACTTTCAATCCTTTGAAAGGCTAGTAGCTCGAGGAGATTTCAACATGTTTGAGGCATTCAAAGTGTGTGGGAGTAGCGGTTGCTGTCCGAAAACAATTTTAAAGCGCTTTTGTCTGTACTAGAGCTCTTTTGTGAATTGAAACACTGTTGAGCAGCATCCAGAAGCTTCACCCAATTCTTCTGCGATCTGGTAACAAAATGGCGGAGATATTCCTCCAGCATGCTATTGAACCGCTCTGTCTGGCCCTTAGATTACGGATGGAAACTTGAACTATGGCTCAATTTGGACCCGAGGCACTTAAAGAGCTGAGTCCAAAAGTTGCTAGTGAAGCGAGAATCGCGATCACTAACGATGTCTTTAGGCAGGCCCCGATATTTGACAACATGAGAGAAGAATAGTTGAGACGTATCTTCTGCTGATATATATTATAGGGCTGCTATAAATGTAGCATACTTGGAATACCAATCCACCACAATCAAGATAGTTGTAAGATCTCTGACTTTGGGTAATCCCGTGATGAAATCAAGTTAAATGCTTTCCCAAGGTACCTTTGGAACATGCAATGGCGCCAAAAGTCCTGCTTGTGTCAAGCGGTCTGGCTTGTCTTTCTGGCATACTAGGCAAGTTTTCACATACTGGGCAACATCATCAGCCATTTGAGGCTAATAATAAGCACGCCGCAACAACGCCATGATGCGTTCTTCACCTGGGTGGTCGACCCACAAAGTATCATGGCATTCCATCAGAAGAGTCCTTCACAGATCTCCTCCTTTAGGAGCATAAAGTCTATTATCTTTCACCTTCAAGAACCCATATTCCATGTAGAACCGGTGAGTCTTGCCATGTCCTACCAAATTGGCCAAGTACTATGCAGCAGGATCCTTTTGGAGTGGATCTTGTATCTGGTCTCTTATAGTGGTGGCCACTTAGCTCCCCCTTAGGGTGGTGAGTAGGCACACTAATGCTAAGTTAGCCCTCTGACTGAGAGCATGAGCAACTTGGTTAGTCTTCCCACTTCGGTACTCCATGTTGAAGTGAAATTCCGCTAGGAGTTCCTGCCACCCGGCCTGGCAGCCATTCAACTTTGGTTGGGTCATGAAATAGCTAATAGTTGTGTTGTCTCTCTTGACCACGAACAGGGTTCCCAGCAGATAGTGCCTCCAAAGGCGTAAGCAATGGACGACAATCAATAATTCTTTTTCGTGGGTGGCATAGCGTCATTCTGCATCCTTCAAATTTTGGCTCTCATACGCAACTGGATGCCCCTCTTGTAGCAAGACTCCGTCTAGAGATAGTTATAGGCATTCGTTTGTACATCGAATGGCTTGGCCAAATCAGGAAGGGCCAAGACAGGGCTACTAGACATAGCCGTTTTCAATGCGTTGAAGGCCTCCGCTCGCTTGGGACCCCAATCCCAAGGCATGACTTTCTTTAGGAGTTTTGTCAACAGCAATGCAATGAGAGAGTAATTCTTCACGAATTGCCGATAAAAGTTGCATAGGCCAAGGAACGCCCTCAAGGCGTGGATATCCTTAGGCGACGTCCAATCTGTGACAGCCTTAATCTTCTGTTGGTCCATCTTGATCCTCCCTTCCTCGATGACATGTTCGAGGAAGTCAATCTGCTTCTAGGGGAATGCGTACTAGGTCAGCTTCACATATAGTTCGTGCTCCCGCAGTCGAGCTAGGACCTTCCGCAGGTGCTCCATGTCTTCCTCCAATGTTTTGCTATATATCACAATGTCATCCAAGTATATCACTACAAAATCTTTAATGTACTCTCGGAAGACTTGGTTCATCAATGTGCAAAATGTGGTTGGAGCATTAGTCAAGCCGAATGGCATGACTAAGAAGTCGTACGACCTATATCTTGTCACATAAGTTGTATTGTGTTCATCTCCGTCAGCAATTCGGACTTGCCAGAAACCTGTCTTCAGGGTCTATTTTGGTGAACATTGTAGCACCACCCAATCTATCGAACAAGTTTGTCACTAGCGGGATAGGGTACTTGTTCTTCACGGTGATTTTGTTTAGGGCCCCATAATCGACACAGAGCTGTAGGGTGCCATCTTGTTTCTTTTGGAATAG